GGAAAGAGACCGCTGGGGAGACCTAGACGTAGATGGTAGGATAATCTCAGGCGAGATCTATGGGAGATAGGAGTTGAAGGAGACTGATTTTGTTCGCCCAGGATATGGTCTGGTGGAAGACTTTGGTTAATTCGGTGATAAACCTTCGAGTTCTGTAAGCCATCTTGTTAGTTAGGAGTGACCAGCCCACTGATTCTGCACAATTTCTACTCAATCCTGATTTGACTACGAGAGTCATCTAGCAGGAGAGACTTGTGAGAGAAATGGCCGCTGAATTTTGCTTACGAAACATCTCGTATGATGCTCGTAAGGTTCTTTTAGAGCTTGTAGGATATTCTAAAATATGATTTGTTCTTCCATGGTCACGTGAATTTAAACACAGTGACAATATCAGCTAATCACTGAAGCAAGCTCTAACTCGTATTGTTGGTCTTGCCCATTGTTGATAATGTGACCCGTTGCTAGGCATAATAAATAAACGACAAATATTTGTTTCGTTGCAGTCAGGCCCGGGGTTTTCCTCCGTGGCATCCCAACAATTCCTCCATTCACACACAGAAGAAGGCAATGGCAAACCACTTCTGGATCATCTGCCAAGAACGTATATGAACAGGTCCCAGTCCGAGAAAAGGATGGAAGGTTCCTGTTCATTTGGACTTGTCGTCACACAGAACACTAAATAAATGAAATAAATAAACTTTTGCTCGTGTACCGTAAGAATATAAAGTGTCTAGAAATCAACCGATTTCTGCAATAACCATTAGACATATATTGAAATGTAAGTTTTAAGCCTGAAAAATAGCCTGATGATTCACGAGGTGGTGATGCAATCTCTTGTAGTACAATTTACCATTTAAGTAGGTTTACCAATATTAATACATACTGAGCTTTTATAAATGAGTCGGAGGTTTTAGTAGCGAATCCACAGCCCTGATTTACATTGTACCTCAAGAACATACGTTTTTCTAATACCAAATGTCAAACACAAATGAAATCAAGGCATGCCTTATAGATTTTTTATCCAAAAAAGTACACAAGGCCCGATAAATATGACCATAAGAATTCTCAGTACTGATATAAAGTTCTTTGTGTTTTAGGAATGAAACAGTATTTACTTGCATTTATGTCACCTGAAATGAATGGAACCATATTGGATGACATAAAATTCATCCTGTACTTAATCTACCTCTTCCTAATGTTAATAGGTAAGCAAATTTTGACTCACATGATTTCATCAGGAGTACAATGTAACTGATGCTCAGGCAGGGTACTGCAACCAAAAGGGTTTAATAAAACAGAGTACTTGTACTGCCTACATAGTAAAGTCCTATTTTCGATTTTATGTTATTATGTACAAATAAGATCATTTACCCACTCTCATTACGTAACATTAGCACCTCGTGAGCGCTGCTTTATCAGAATGTGGATTTAACAGGAAAGGAAAACTGTAGTCAAATTTGGAATTCATAACTAACTAGATGGCTTAGGGAACCCGAAGGTTCATCACCGAATTAACCAAAGCCCTCCACCGGACCCTGTCCTTGGCCAACAAAATCCAATCTCCTTCAACTCCTATCTCCCATAGATCCCACCTGAGATTATCCTCCCATCTACGTCTAGGTCTCCCCAGTGATCTCTTCCCCTCAGGCTTCCCAGCCAATACCCGGTGCACATCTTTTATCCCATCCATACGCGCTACATGTCCCGCCCATCTCACTCTTCTCGACTTAATCACCCTGATAATGCTTTGGAGGATTACAAATTTTTAAGTAGTTTTTGTATAGTTTTCTCCAGACACCGTCGTCTTCTCCCCTGGCCCCAAATATTGGACTACACACAATTTCAAATAAATTTTCTGTGATTTGGAATATTCACTCATTTTGATATTTATTTAATCAAGATACACATTAACTCTTGGTTAGCTAAACAGTGATACAAATACTTCACGTTACATAATCATAAATTTCATTGTCGATAAAGCTAATCAATAGTGCAGTTGTTAAATCTGTAGGGAACACAATGTTTTTCATTTCTCTTAAATACGTGAAGCAAATAATTTCCCAAATGAATGTTATAGATCTTCACGAGTTCCGTATTTTACACCAGTTCCTAAAGCCTTCTTTGAGAAATGTGAATTCCTGGTAAATATTCGGTCATGCCACAGCCCTGAATTATAAAAATGATTCAGTATATGTATTTCAACTGATAAAGTGAGAAATTTATAGTTTTATTTCAACTTAGATAAAAGTCTGTAATTGTTTAAATAACACACCTCTTTTAATATCTCTTCCTGCTCCTGTGATCTAAGTTCTACCGCCTGAAATTATTTCATTTACTGAAAGTGTCACTTTATTTTCTCAGGAATATTGGGCAATTCACCCAACATAGGTTATTGGTGCAAAAATCATGTTTGTGATTCGATTGTGAACACTAATTTTCAAGATGGTACTGAAGAAAGAAACTTCTATAACATATCAAGCATAACTCAATTCTGGAAGGTATGAATTTAAGATAAATATGCGATTGAGACTTACATAAATGCTGTTAAGCAGAGATAATGAAGTGATTTAAGAAACTCATTTGCTAATTAAGTTATTAAGCAGTCGACATTATTACTATAAAAAAGTTATCCAACTATACAAGAAATTTTCTATTATGGTACCAGAAGGTTAATTAATATCACTTTAAAGTCAGTGTCCATACAACCAAATCCGACCTGATGTACCCAAATGGTCTCTTTCTACCAAGTCTTAGAAATAAAATTTTGTATGAATTCCATCTGTCTGCATAATTTTTGTATGGCCTGCCAATCTGAATTTTCCAGATTTAACCCCCCTGACAGCATTATGCAATACTCCCCATTGTCATAATATTTCTTCTATCTTGCTGCAAAAACATAGCTCTATAAATTTTAATCTTCAGGTTTTCAAAAGACGACATGACGGTTAACTCTCTGTGGCATATTATTGTAAACATTCACAACTTCTGTCTATATTCAAGATGAAATAAATAGCACATTTTATTAGGGATTGAAAATTTGTACTATTAACCACCCAGCACAATTTACACGGGAAAACCACGAGAGATGAAATGGATAGGAAAGATAATGTTCAAGAAACATGTTCATAATTTTGATTGAAAAACTCAAGGAAAAAGCCCACTTGGAAAACATTGGCATATATAAAAGAACAGTATTAAAAAGTGTCCTGGAAGCAGGCAGGTTTTTCTCAGTATCACCAAATTTATTTAAAAAAATCATAGATCATCTGATTAACTGCAAATTAGCTGCTAAAAGAGTATTATATATCATAAAGAGTTAGTGACTGATAGTTTAAATTTAGATAATGGTTTCAGAATGCACTGCTCTGTACAGTCGGTATATAATTTACGATCATTGTGTTTATAAGCGATTAACTAATTTTGTTTTCAGTTCGCAGAAACTGTAATGATCGACAATATATACGGGAAATCCGAAAACGATACACATCAAACATTAGTGTTGCAAGATAGTAAGCTAGTTAGAGTACCACGCCTACGACAGGTTTGTATATTTTCCTTTATAACGTAACATTTTAAGTGAAGAAAGTTGCAATTCTTTAGATATTACATGATTTATGATTTATAAATTAATCTGATTTTTCAACTGTGAATATTAAAATCATAGTGAATTCAGTAATGACAAGATACGTTCATATGAACTGTTTCATCATTCAGCATGTCCAATCAATAGGTGTCCCGTTACTAAGGCATAGGACTTTTGTGTGTATTGGAGTAACTAGAATGCAAATAAAACTTTATTGTCTACAGGTGAGAGTGAGAAAAGATTCGTGCGTAGTAAATCAATCATCATGTTATGAATTATATTCACGTTGGTACGAAGATACAAAACCATTTGGGCCAGGAAATGGAACAGCGTAAGTTTTCAATTAATATTTCAGCAGAATATTTTATTGATGTATATCAAAATATTCCCTTT